GAAGATCCAATATTATTTCTGAAAATCAATTTTTTTTACAAAATTCCAATTTTTGTAGAGCAAGTCCTAACGATTTTGATAGGAATACACATTTAAATAATAATAACAACTACAAATTTACCAAATTTTGTAGCTAATTCAGAAACAAAGGGCACATAATAAGTGAATGTAGAAGAAGGCAATATAATAATGATAGACGTAATATTACACATAATTATTTATACATAAACTTGTTAACAATAAAATATAGTGTAAATTTACACCAGTGTGTTTTGAGAAGTGCAAGTCGCACAGTATATCAATGCATAATAAAAGTGCCAATCATATTTGTTTGAATCGCAAATTATAATTTTATAGACGAATAACAAATTGTTATTTTTATTAATTTATTTTAGAATATATCTTAATTTTATTTTTTTTTATTCTTTTATTTTAGATTATTTTTTTATATTGAAGGTACATAATTAAATTTTGTTTTTTCTTTTACATGGAGTTTATTTATTTAATTTGCAGAATTTTTGCAGAACTTAATTTATTTTTAGTTTTACTACCTTTGCCACACAATCATATTCTATCATCCTTTCCTATCAGTCATTTTCTGTCAGTCGTTTGATTTCAACTTTTTCTTCCAATCCTTTCCTGTCAATATTTTCCTGTCAATCCATTCCTGTCAATTTCTGTCAACCCTTTCCTGTCAATCCTTTCCTGTCAATCCTTTCCTGTCAATCCTTTCCTGTCAATCCTTTCCTGTCAATCCTTTCCTGTCAATCCTTTCCTGTCAATCCTTTCCTGTCAATCCTTTCCTGTCAATCATTTCCTGTCAATCATTTTCTGTCAATCCATTCCGGTCTATCATTTCCTGTCAATTATTTCCTGTCAATCATTTCCTGTCAATTTCTGTCAACCATTTCCTGTCAATTTATGTCAACCCTTTCCTGTCAATCCTTTCCTGTAAACCCTTTCCTGTGAATACTTTCCTATCAATCCCTTCCTGTCTATCCTTTCTTGTCAACCTTTTCCTGTCAATCCTATTCTCTCAGTCCCTTCTTGACAATAATTTTCTGTGAATCCCTCCCTGTCAATACATTCCTATCAATCCATTCCTGTCAATCCATTCCTGTCCAAACTATTCCTGTCAATCCATTTCTGTTAATCCATTCTTGTCAATCCTTTCCTGTCAATCATTTCTTGTCAATCCTTTCCTGACAATCCTCTCCTGTCAGTCCTCTTACTACATTCGTTTCCAGGAAAGAGCCTTTTTCAAAATTTCTTAAAATTTAGTTTTTTTTAAATAAAAGTATTTTATAGCCAGTCCCATCATCGTCTGAGGTCACGAGCCATCACTGAGAACCTAGTAGGTTTACTAACGTCAATTTTTTATGGAAGAGATAATAAATTGTTTTGAAGATAAAAAATTCGCAAAACACCTTCTATTTTTAAAATACGGTCTAAAATTTTTATTATTTTAGAATATTTCTTATTTTTTTACTAGTATTTTGGAATATTTTTTTATTTTGAAAATACTTCGTATTTGAGGTCAGAATTAAGTTATATTTTTTATTATAAATTAATGTACAGAAATTTTGCTGAATTTAGGTTTTGTTTAGTTTTTACTACTTTTGCCACACACAATAATTTCCTGTCAATCCTTTTCTACTTTTCCTGCCAATCCTCTCCTGTCAATCGTCTCCTGTCAATCCTCTTCTGCCAATCCTTTTCTGTCAATCCTTTCTTGTAAATCCTTTCCTGTCAATCCTTTCCTGTTAATCCTTTTCTGTCAATCTTTTCCTGTCAATCCGTTGTTGTCAATCCTTTCCTGTCAATCCTTTCCTGTCAATCATTTAATGTCAATCCTTTTCTGTCAATCCTTTCCTGTCAATCCTTTCCTGTCAATCATTTCCTGTCAATTATTTCCTGTCAATTTCTGTCAATCCTTTCCTGTCAATCCTTTCCTGTCAACTCCTTCCTGTGAATTCTTTTCTCCTTTAATACCAACCGATCAGTGTAATATCTCCAGAGAAGTCACTACCACCATTTGAAGCTGTATTTCTGTACAGTTCTGCAAGAAACCACAGCCATTTACTAGAGTAAGGGAAGTCTTGGATTCAGAAACAGCTAGCTTCATAAATGCATCCCGGGGCATTGTAAGTACAGTTATGTTGTATCCCGATTTGTCAAAAATCGATCCTAACTCTTCTAATTCACAAGAAACGGGCTCTAAAGACATTAAACCAGAAAGTTTATCGACAGATTTGAAAAGGCTTAGTTTTGAACTTGGCCATACTTCATTTTTCATAACTATTTATACACAAACTTGTTAACAATAAAACATAGTGTAAATTTCAACGAGTGTGTTTTGAGAAGTGCAAGTCGCGTGGCATAACAATGCATAATAAAAGTGCCAATTATATTTGTTTAAATCGCAAATTATAATTTTATAGACGAGTAACAATTGTTTTGCAAAATAAAAAATTAACAAAACTCCCTTTATTTTTATTAATTTATTTTAGAATATACTTAAATTTTATTTTTTTTATTATTTTATTTAAGATTACTTTTTTATATTGAAGGTACAAAATTAAATTTTGTTTTTTCTGTTAAATAGAGTTTATTTATTTAATTTGCAGAATTGTCACACAATTCTTTTCTATCATCCTTTCCTATCAGTCATTTTCTATCAGTCGTTTCATTTCAACTTTTCCTTTCAATCCTTTCCTATTAATCCTTTTCTGTCAATCCATTCCTGTCAATCCATTCCTGTCAATCCATTCCTGTTAATCCATTCTTGTCAATCCATTCCTGTCAATCATTTCTTGTCAATCCTTTCTTAAGTATCCTTTCCAGACAATCCTCTCCTGTCAGTCCTTTTACTACATTCTTTTCTAGGAAAAAACCCTCTATAAAATGTCTTCAAATTTATTTATTTTTTTAAATAAAAGTATTTTATGGCCAGTCCCATCATCGTCTGAGGTCACGAGCCGCCACTGAGAACCTAGAAGGTTTACTAACGCCAATTTTTCATGGAAGAGATAATAGACTGTTTTGAAGAAAAAAATTCTCAAACCACCTTCTATTATTAAAATATGGTATAAAATTTTTATTACTTTAGAATATTTTTAAATTTTTTACTTCTATTTTGGAATATTTTTTTAATTTTGAAAGTCCTTCGTATTTGAAGTCATAATTAAGTTTTCTTTTTGATTATAAGTGGAGCCTATTTATTTAATGTACAGAAATTTTGCAGAATTTAGGTTTTCTTTAGTTTGTACTACCTTTGTCACACAATAATTTCCTGTCAGTCCTTTCCTGTCAATCCTTTCCTGTCAATCCTTTCCTGTCAATCCTTTCCTGTCAATCCTTTCCTGTCAATCTTTTCCTGTCAATCCTTTCCTGTCAATCCTTTCCTGTCAATCCTTTTCTGTCAATCCTTTCCTGTCAATCCTTTCCTGTCAATCATTTCCTGTCAATCCTTTCCTGTCAATCCTTTTCTGTCAATCCTTTCCTGTCAATCCTTTCCTGTCAATCCTTTCCTGTCAATCCTTTCCGGTCAATCCTTTCCTGTCAATCCTTTCCTGTCAATCCTTTCCTGTCAATCCTTTCCTGTCAATCCTTTCCTGTCAACCCTTTCCTGTCAATCGTTTCCTGTCAATCCTTTTCTGTTAATCCTTTCCTGTCAATCCTTTCCTGTCAATCCTTTGCTGTCAATCCTTTCCTGTCAATCCTTTCCTGTCAATCCTTTCCTGTCAATCCTTTCCTGTCAATCCATTCCTGTCAATCCTTTCCTGTCAATTCTTTCCTGTCAATACTTTCCTGTCAATCCTTTCCTGTCAATCCTTTCCTGTCAATACTTTCCTGTCAATCCTTTTCTGTCAATCCTTTCCTGTCAATCCTTTCCTGTCAATCATTTCCTGTCAATCCTTTCCTGTCAATCCTTTTCTGTCAATCCTTTCCTGTCAATCCTTTCCTGTCAATCCTTTCCTGTCAATCCTTTCCGGTCAATCCTTTCCTGTCAATCCTTTCCTGTCAATCCTTTCCTGTCAATCCTTTCCTGTCAATCCTTTCCTGTCAACCCTTTCCTGTCAATCGTTTCCTGTCAATCCTTTTCTGTCAATCCTTTCCTGTCAATCCTTTCCTGTCAATCCTTTGCTGTCAATCCTTTCCTGTCAATCCTTTCCTGTCAATCCTTTCCTGTCAATCCTTTCCTGTCAATCCTTTCCTGTCAATCCATTCCTGTCAATCCTTTTCTGTCAATTCTTTCCTGTCAATACTTTCCTGTCAATCCTTTCCTGTCAATCCTTTCCTGTCAATACTTTCCTGTCAATCCTTTACTGTAAATTTTTTCCTGTCAATCCTTTCCTGTCAATCCTTTCCTGTCAATCCTTTCCTGTCAATCCTTTCCTGTCAATCCTTTCCTGTCAATCCTTTCCTGTCAATCCTTTCCTGTCAATCATTTCCTGTCAATCCATTCCTGTGAATCCTTTCCTGTCAATCCTTTCCTGTCAATCCTTTACTGTTAATCGTCTCCTGTCAATACTTTCCTGTCAATCCTTTACTGTCAATCCTTCCCTGTCAATCCTTTCCTGTCAATTCTTTCGTGTCAATCCTTTCCTGTCAATCATTTCCTGTCAATCCATTCCTGTGAATCCTTTCCTGTCAATCCTTTCCTGTTAATCGTCTCCTGTCAATACTCTCCTATCATTCCTCTCCTGTCAATCCTCTCCTGTCAGTCCTCTCCTGTCAGTCCTCTCCTGTCAATCATTTCCTGTCAATCCTTTTCTGTCAATCCTTTTTTGTCAATCCTTTTCTCTGAATCCTTTCCTGTCAACCCATCCTTTCCTGTCAACCCTTTTTTGTCAATCTTTTTTTGTCAATTATTTCATGTCAATCATTTCATGTCAATCATTTCCAATCAATCCTTTCCCGTCAATCCAGTGAGAACTTAGAAGGTGTTATATGTATTACATATGTATAGTTTTAGTTTTAATAGTATTTAATAAAAGCTATCAAGAATATTGAGTATTGTTTTAGTAGCCGAAGTAAGACAATTAAAAATTGTTGTCAGAAGTGAAGGGATTATGTTGGTTCCCATTGTTTTCAAAGAAAGAAAGTCCAACTCATCTGTCCACGGTCCAGACTTCAAGGTTACTACGTCTCTACTTCAAGTTAACTACGTCTCTACTTTAAATTCAACTAATCAACTTCAAGAAACAAAACCAGAAGAAAATCAACTGACTTTAAGAAACTCAATCGACTTCAAGAAACTCAACTCGAAGAATCTTAAACCGCAGGAAATCGTGCACTCGCTTGCCAAGAAAAAGGAATGGATCCTGTACAATTTTCGATATTTTTGCAACTAACATCTTCTGTTCTATCAATAAGTTCATGTCTTTATATCCAAAATTAGAAAACAATTCAGAATTAGAAAATAATTTCGTGTTAGAAGATAAGCCAGAAATTAAAATGTCGATATCTCTTAAAATTGCTGAAAAAATGCTTAATAAATTTGACGGCAATAAATCTAGGTTAGGTGAATTTTTAAGAAACTGCGATATGGCGATAAAATTAATTAAACCCGAAATAAAAAACATACTTTTTTAATAATATTTACCAAATTAATAGACAATGCTGGTACTATTAAAAGTACGCAAAAATTTCCCAAATTAGGAAAGACTCAAATATATACAAATTTTGGTGTCAGAAGTGAGATTTACGAGGATCAATCTCCAAGAAGATTAAAGGGTCCAAAGAAGTTCATTTATATTTAGATATCAGGTAATAGAAAACCTTCTGATTAAAATTATAGTGGATCACCTAAATAGATCAAACACACCGCTATTTCTAAATCACCGTTTTGAATTAAACATTTTCACATCACTGTTTCAACCACTGTTTCCATCACTGTTCTGGCCGCCGTCTCTACAAGATCTCGTCGCCGTCTCTACAAGCCACAACGTTCCTTCGCTACTGCTACCCCTAGCCAACGAAGCTCACCAAGTCCAAGATAAACCAAAATTCCTGCTGCACTCATCCTTATCATGTACTTTGGAATATTCGTTTTTAATTTGTAAGTACATACCTAATGTCAGTTTATCCTAATTTAAAAGAGGAAAATTTATTATAAAACTCAAACCCATCAGAAACTAACAATATCCCAGGCAGCACACTTTGGTATAAATTACGTATTTTTTTAGGTACTACCATACGTATGAATACGGTTGATGTACTACCAAATATATTCGTGAAAATGTCCGCCTTATAAACGTCGATTACTAAGAATTTATCCTCTATAATTAAACATTTTTACTATACGTTTATATTGGATTTATAGTTGTAGTATATTTATACGAATTCACTTTGGTATAAAATACGTTTTTTTATGTACTACAATATACGTATGGATACTGTTGATATGCTACCCAATATATACGTGAAAATGTCCGTCCTATAAACGTATATTTTTTTTATTTTTTATACGTCTAACATTACTACTTTATCTACCTTTAATTATCCTGTTTTACTATACGTCTATATTATATATATTTGTATGATTTTTATTAATGTGTAAAATGCGTCTACCTGATATTCTTTTAAATGTATTTCAAACACAAATTAAATAAAGTGATCAAAACAAAATTTCTAAAAGAGGCCATGGAAAAATGTTAATATTTCTTAAATGATAGTTTGGATTTTATCCATAGCAGGTGTGTGTATACACGAGAAATAGGCATTACTCGTATTAATATTTTGGTTGTAATTGGCCTAAATATTTATACATTTTTTTTGATCACTTGTTATATGTACAGAACAATATTTAATTAAAAAAAAAATAAACAATAAAATACTAAAAAATAAATAAATACAAAAAAATGAACACTAAAATACTGAATAACAAACTAAACGAAACTTTTCTTTAACTAACAAAAAATATATATGAAAATAAAAATCTTAGCTTAACACTTTGGACGGGCCTTAGCTAACTTAAGCTAATCTTGCATGGCACACCTAATCGTTCGGTCGGTTAAGTCGCTTGGTCCACCCCCATTCCTATAACGAAAATCTAACTCAATTTCAGGTGAAATATTTTCTAAAAGCTCCGAAATTAAATTCGTATTATTTTCTTGGAAATTATTATAAATAATAGAATCAGATGATATATTAATGTCCGAAGCCTTATTAATGTTATCTTCACTGGGAATAAAAAAAATTGATTTGACTTTAAAGCATCTTGAATATTTTGCGCTATTTTTCTACGTAGATGACGCAGTGACAGAGTTATTTTAGACATTTTATTAAATAAAAAACAACTGACCAAAAAAAAAGGAAAATAAGTATAATAAGTATGCTTGAAATAACTAGGTAACCTAAAAAATACGTAAAAAAATAAAAGAAACAAAAGTAAGGTTATGTTTTGAAGTTTCTATAATCATTTAACACACTGTACGTACCTATAAAACAGTAGTTGTTGTAAAATGCAACAATTATTAAAGGAGTAGCTAAATTAAAACATTAATAGAAACTTACCTATGCTTTTAATTAATATTGTAAAAGCCAGGACGCCAAAGAAACATGCAACAAAACGTGTACACAAATTAAAATGGACGAACCGATGAACCTGCTCCCACAAACCATTCCCTACACTGAACAATAATACTACACATACGCATGAGTAGAAACAAGAAAAGACCGTACCACTAGTACGTCGTCCTCCATCCGCCATCTAAAAATAGTTCCATGTGTATGGGGAATTTGTTATAAATATTACAGGTAATATAATTTAAAAAATGTGGATGTAATGTAAATAAATATATCTATAAGCTTTTAATTTATATAAACCTAAATATATACATATTATTTACTTCTGTCTACTAGTTCATCGTAAACTGGTATTATGCGTTTAAGGTGACTTATATTTAAACGTAGAATAATATAGGTATATTAACTAGTATCGACAAACAAAAACGTTTAATTTATCTGTTAAAAAACGTTAAGTATAAAAATGGTAGATGGTAAACGTTTAAAAAATCAACCAAGACGAAATTTAAACGGAAATTATAAACGAAGAAAACATATTGTATAATAATGTAAATTTATACGAATTTAATTTAAATAAACCTAAACGTATATTTAGGCCCACTGTATATAAATAGTTCATCGCAAACTAAAAATAGTCGTATATTGTTAACTATATTTAAACGTAGACAAATTTATAATTATATACCATAGGATGTATATGAAAAACGTATAATATATCGTTTAAAACACGGTATGTATAATAATCGTAAACTGTAAACGTATACGGAATCAACCAATACCAAAATTAAACGAGTATTACGTATAAAATACGTTAGTTATACTAATGTGTGCTGCCTGGGATGCCTAAAAAAGTATCACTAGAAAATGTCAAGGATATGTTAATTAAATTTGATGGCAATAAAAGTAAACTTTACGAATTCTTTGCTGTCAATCCATTCCTGTCAATCTTTTTCTGTCAATCCCTTCCTGTCAATTTCTGCAAATCCTTTCCTTTTAATCATTTCCTGTCAATCTATTCTTCTCAACCCTTTCCTGTGAATCGTCTTCTATCAATCCTTTTACTACCTTCGTTTCCAAGAATGAGTCCTCTACATATATCTTCACGTTGGTTCTTAATGAATAGTTAAATAACTGTAATGTACTCGTACCAATCAATTACTTTATAAACATATTAAATATATTAAATTTCCTTTATTATTATTGAGAGGCAAAACGAGACATCAAATCTTCCATAAGTTTTGTCTTGTGTAAATATCAAATATTTTTGATTACGTTTAACTAATTATTATTCATTTAATTCACTGTATCGTTACTCACGTCAAGTTCTATATCATTTTATATTTCTCCTATATTTAGTATCTTCTATTTGTACTAGTTCTCTATCAACTTTTACTTAAATCAGTTATTTAAATGTAAAATGCTATCAATATAAGTGCTAGACGAAAACGTGTTTTACTATCCAGACGCGTCGAAGGTCCATTATAGAAAATTGGTGTAAGAAGTGTGGGATCAAAAGCCGTTCAGTTTCCCACAAGAACTCGCATTGTTGTTTACAGATTCCTGGAAAGGTGCCGCAACCGCGAATAGGACTGAGGATTCTGGAGATGTTCTATTTGACAGAAAGTTTTATACCATTACCTTTTAGAGCAATAAATTTAGATAAAGATAATTTGAAAGTCGTTTCTAAAAAATTAAAACAAATAGAACAACTCGCAGATAAAATGTCTGACAAAAATAAAAAAATGATTCCTTCCTTAATAATAGTTATTTCATTTATTTGATTTGCACTTTATTTAAAATTATTGGTTTGTACATACTATATAAGTTATTTAGATATTTAACAAACAGGTGTCGAAATAATAGAGACTCCGATAATAATAAGTTATGTTATAACATAAAAAATTGTCTCACTTTTAATGTTTGTAAAAATAAGGAAGAATTACATGTCGAGATTGATAAAGGCACAGAGGAAGCCAGTACAAGTTTACGTAGGAGCATAAGGTTAGAGAAAATAAAAACAGTTTGTAAAGTTTTATATTTTATTATATGTACTTATCTTTTATTCTATACGTATATTATTGTATTTTTCATTTTATGTGTTTTATATTATTCTTTAGTTCTAAACATGTAATCTAATAATAAAGGTTTTCCACCCTTCTCTAAATTTATTTATATTTGTATTGATCAATATTTCTTATATCTGTGTATTTTTATTAATAAGATTTGTTTTATTAATAAAAATCTTAAGGAGGGAGATGTAATGTACCTATGTAATAACTCATCACCCAGTATATTATTTTTCTTGTAACTATTTTGTTTTGTATAATTGTGATAACAGAATTCACTAAAACGAGCATTAGACTTTATTATTTACTTTTACTTCATATTTTCCATCATTTAATTTATTTAACTTAAACTAATTAATAATCTTGGGTAAATATAAATAATATCATTTCTTTGTTACGTTTCCTAAAGCCTCGATATCTTTTCAAAAATAAATAAGCTTACAAAACAAGATAGAGTTTTCATGTTAAATTCAAATTATTGTAAAAACAGAGTTTGTCGAGCCTGCACTGAATCTAAACCTATTATAATTTTCGAGTAATAATTAAAATATAAAAATCAAGTTACTGTTTTCTCTAAAAGTCTTTGAAGAACTAACAGCCATAATTTACAGATGGTTATGCTGAAAGGAGAACCACTAGTCAACTAGATTTAAATTCGTGCAGGAAAATATAAATGAAACTGTACCCTCCTATTCAAATAAAATAGAAAATTGTTATTTAAAATTAATTAATAGTTTAAAAACAGATTTAATGCCAGG